TTACTCTCTCCTGCACTGTGGCTTCATCTTAAGGCTGGAGGCAAGATGTCTACGCCAGTTTACACACCAACATAGGGAGGAAGCAAAAGAGCCATCTATTTTGCGTTTTTCTTGGTAGTGAATACACCTTCCCTAGAACATCCACGACAAACTTTCCTTCATTCCTTAGCCTTTGATAGTGAGCCCTTTCTAACAGCTTGTCTCTGGGGTGTAGAATGGAGACGTGACCAGCACAGGCTGATCATCTCAGACTACAATGCTTCCAAGTCCACCTGACCACACCGCCACCCAAGGAGCTGCTGGTGAGGACCAAAGGAGGAAATAGACATGAATATATTTCTAAGTTAATGTGCCGCACAGTTATCCTCATAGACAGAACCCTGATAAGCCACAGCATCAAATATGTCAGAAATGCCTTCTGCCCAATACTCCACACAAAAGCAGCAGCATGACGAATGATACGATGGAGAAGACATTACCATGCCAACAGGAATGACCAACTGCCACTCTCTTCAGGGACTGGGACATTTTAAATGATTACTGCTGAGATGAAAGTTCAATGTGGCCTATCTGCAATGTGGCCCCGAGTGGGCACCTGCAACAGGAGAAGGAACTGAGAGAAGGGTTCTGGGGCAAAGTTGGGGGCGTCAGGCAGGAAGACTCATTTTCCAGTAAACACAATGGTCCGACATGAGTGAGGGTGAAGGGAGGGTTGCTAAACTCGAAAAGATAAAGAGAACAGGAGAAACAATGATTGCAACACAATTTTGGAAGCTGGAATGCTGACAAACTAGTGGTAACTGACTTAGCAGATGAGGGAAACTGAAAACCTGGCACAGCACAGCAGTGTGGAAAGCCAGGTTGGGATTTATGCCCCCCACACCTCTGAAATTGGGGGCAACATGCACTGATGGGGAAGGGACCCTAAATCACCTTAGCCCTGGATACCAAGAGAAGGCTGAAATTCTGCAACTTGTGTGCTCTGCTGCGTCATGACAACTCCAGACTCAGATACCAGGTGTAGCTGAGGGCAGGGGCTAAAAAACAGGTGAATAAGACAAAGCCATCATACCACATGGTTAGACTTCCAGTCTCCTTCTCATCTGGCTCCCAGTGTAGCCAACCAATTCCCTTCAGTGTATGGGATTTCTCTTCACCCAATCAGTTTCCCCAGAGAACAAATATTTTCTACTATCAGGTGGGAGTCCTCCAATGAAACCACCAGCGGGCTAATCCTACAGCAGAGGTCCTCCATGCTAGCTGCATATTTGAATCACCCGAGAGCTTTAATATTCACAACTACCTGGACCCCAGCAAGAGTGTATGTCATTCAGTTACTCAGCAAAAACTATATGTATGGAAAGGTTAGTGTGTGCCAGCAATTGTTCTAGATTCTGAGACACGGTTCTGTCTCCTTAGTAAGAAGCAACTACTCCTGGGTATACTTAATCTATGTAGACCTTCCAGTTAGCTTTATAGTGAGTGATCAGTCAAGGATCATTAGACATTTGAAGAAAGCCTTTAATGTGGAAGTGATTAAAAACCAAAAGCACACACACACACACACACACACACACACACACACACATATACACACACACACAAAGGGGAAATCAGAGGAAATAAACAGTGCAGGGAGCAGAGAAATGCTTCAAAGAAGCTGTAATTGAGACCCACAAAGAATTGAGAAGCTTTTCATCCAAGAAACAGTAACAGGAGGTTATAAAAAGAAAATTTCAGATATTTTTAAGGCTTTCTGGGGAATTAGAAATATGACAGACATAAAAATTGAACATATGGGTTGGAAGACAAAAATGAGGAAATTTCCCAGGAAGTAGAAATGTTGTTTTAAAAAGGAAATCGAAAGTATAAGAAAAAAGGTAATACAACCACCCAACAGGTTCATTTTGCCTGCTGCCCAGATAGAGCCAATTTATCAAGACAGGGGAATTGCAATAGAGGAAGTTTAATTGACACAGAGCCAGCTGAATAGGAGAACAGAATTTTATTACTCAAATTAGTCTCTCTGAAAATTCGAACGCTATGGTTTTTTTAAGGATAGTTTGGGGGATAGAGTGGCTAGGTAATGGGTGCTGCTTACTGGCTGGGGATTCAATCATGGGGGGCGGAAACGGTCCTCAGGCTGAGTCCACTTCCTGGTGGACAACATGGCGAAACCCAGTCTCTACTAAAGATACAAAAACTAGCCGAGCACAGTGATGCATGCCTGTGGTCCCAGCTGCTTGGGAGGCTGAGGCACGAGAATTGCTTGAACCCAGGAAATAGAGGTTGCAGTGAGCTAAGATCATGCCACTGCATTCCAACCCCGGGCAACAGAGACTCCGTCTCAAAAAAAGAAAAAGGAAATGCCAAAACCTGAAAAGACATCTCAAAAGGCCAATCTTAGGTTCTATAATAGTGATGTTATCAAGCTGCAAATCTTGTGGCTAATGGCTAACCTGTTAGTCCTATCTGATCCCCAGGCAACATCGGGATTTGTTTTGGGGAAAGGGCTCTAATCATCTTTGTTTCAAAGTTTATAAACTCCTCCCAAAGTTAGTCTGGCCTACACCCAGGACAACTTGGAGGTTAGAAGCAAGATAGAGTCAGATCAGATCTCTTTCACATTCACAGCTGTTCTAATTTTTGCAAAGGTGGTTTCAGTAATAAAATTAGAGATTCAAACCATGAGGGTCTCCTTCCAGTTGACTGGGTATTCCAGAAGAGAAGGAAGGAAAGTATTATTGTAACTCTAAGAAACTGGCCGGGCACGGGAGCTCATGCCTGTAATCCCAGCACTTTGGGAGGGCAAGACGGGCAGATGATTTGAAGTCAGGAGTTCGAGAACAGCATGGCCAACATGATGAAACCCTGCCTCTACTAAAAATACAAAAAGGCCTGGTATGGTAGCTCACACTTGTAATCCTAGCACCCTGGGAGGTCAAGGAAGCAGATCACCTGAGGTCAAGAGTTCAAGACCAGCCTAGCCAATATAGTGAAACCCCGTCTCTACTAAAAAGACAAAAATTAGCCAGGCGTGGTGGTACATGCCTGTAGTCCCAGTTACTTGGAGGCTGGGGCAAGAGAATAGCTTGAACCCAGGAGGCAGAGGTTGCAGTGACCTGAGATTGTGTCACTGCACTCTAGCCTGGGCAACAGAGAGGGACTCCATCTCTAGAGAATAAAAAGAAGTGGAAGTTGGTGAGGGGTAAGGTGAGTGAGTACCATCCCTAGTTATAAGTTTGTAGACATATTTGACTTTTTAAATTATGTGTGTGTATATATAGTTTTGATAAGGAGGGAAGCTCAGGCTATATATCAGATTACAGAAGGAGAACCCAATAAAATCAGGAAGAACCCACTCTCTGGAGGGCAGAGCAACAAGCACTTGGCCAAACCTCTGGGAAACAGACTTGATGAAGAAGGCAGGGCTGAGCAAAAGGGCACAGCAGGTAAGGGACCTCGATGTCCCAGGAAACAGGGTGCAATGGACTTGCCATTCTCTTCAATGACACCTTCCTTAAGTGTGACCTGCCTGGAGCATACAGAGATTAGCAAGAACAAAGGCTCAAGTGCCAGGTGCCCCGCTGGGAAATTTAGGGACGTGAGGAGGCAGAAAGGCAGCTGGTGACTTTGCTGCTCTTAGACCGGTCTTCCCTTCATCCCTAGATTAAAGGGAGACTGAAAATTACCCCCAGCAACACAGGCTGAGAGAGGCTGAGGGCGCAGAGCAAGCCTAAGTCCACACTTCGGTTCCCCGACCCCCATCACTTTCCCTTTCTTGTTTATTTGTGGCCCACTCTGAGAACTCTTTCTTTTCTTAATTAAGGCCTGACCCAGGCCTCCTTCCCCAAAGGCCATTCTGTCTGAGAGTCCCGCAGCTGCCCCCAGGGGCCGTGGGTTTGACTGGAGATCCCGAAGAATTAACTGTGGGTGGGTCCCGCATGACCTCAACTCATTAACATCCCAGCAAAAGGAGCCCCAGGCGCCTACAGGTTAGTATTCAACCGCCAGATTAGCAGTTGGGGTGAGACTATGCCCTTGCAATTCACCTGCAAAGTTGAATTGAGAGTTGCAAAGCAGTGTAAGAGTGCAAAGTCTGAATGTACTATAGTAAGTGTGTAAAGATATTTCTATATTATTTAGAGTTTATGGTATCAAACTCAGCCCGGCCGATTTCTATGAAAAGCATTAACTGTTTACATTCACAGAGCCTTTTTCTCCCACACATGGTTCCCAGGATGACAGCTGTGGTTACCTCCTTTTTTCCCTCCATCTCACGAGACAAGACTGACTTCATTTCACTCCCAGTGTTTATAAACTACCTAGTAGAGAGGAGCTACAGGACATAAAATGCCATGCTCTTTCCAAACATCCTGCATCTCTAAAACTCTTTGATTTGTGGATCCTATAACCAAAACATTTTGTGAATCAGTGGTGGGCTGTTATCCAAGCAGGCTGTTTAGCAGTTTGGGGGCAAAGATCTGTCCCCAAAGGAGATCACGACTTCGTGTGGGAGCATCCACAGTTCCCGCGGGTAGAGAAGGCAGCTTTGCTCCGCCTCTCCTCCTGCTAGCGAGGGTTGGGGACACTGACAGATGCCCGGGCTGCTGCCAAGCACCCCGCTCCTACGGGGGCCTCAACGGCACGGCCCCTGAGGTTCTGAAACCGCCTTGGTCCCGGGGTCCCCCCACCTGTCCCCTCTGCGCACCCCTTCCCTGCCCGTCACACACACCCGGGGCGCCTCCTTCCGTCCAGCCATTGACAGACCAGCTCCAAGTCACTCACTCCTCCCGAGGAACACAAACCGTCTCTCCACACGCAAATCCCCCGCTTTAAAAACAGCACACCCCAGGAGTCCGGGAGATGCGAAGAGCAGGCGCTTAGGGAGCGGCTCCGAGGCTGTGGCTAACTCTCCACATTTGTGGATTCAGCCCCCACCTGCACCCCGACCCAGATCAGACCTGAGGCTGTGGTCGCCGGAGAAGCCCATTTCCTACCTCCAGTTCTGAAGTCACCTTCGGAGGGTTCCCGTCCGACCCCCTCTCCGGGGCTCCTGGGAGTCTCCGCCAGCTGCAGCCGCGCGCAGGGTAATCCGCTCGCCGGGCCGGGCTCCGCGCCCCCGGGGCGGCTCATTAGCCTAATCACCTGCGGGCGGCCCGCGGGCGGCGACCGGCTGCCCTCCCGGAACGCGCCAGCCCTTGCAGGACTTCCCGAGGGCTGCTCTCCGCCGGCTCCGCGCCTGTGGGAGGACCCCCTCCTCCCTGCGCGCCGCGGTGGAGGAGGTTAGGAAAGCCTGTAATGCAATCCTAAACTCGGCTCGCCACTCCCCGCCTCACTTGTCAAAACCCCACAGCATTCCAGGATCCCTACCCTGGTCACTCCCCTGGCCGGGAAAAGGAAACCGCCCTGGGGAGGATTTCAGGGAGTTTGGGGCTTCTCATCCAAGACACCTTTGTTGACACTAGGGGCTCAGGAGCCTCCTGGGGCAAACCCGAAGCAGGCTAGAGGAGAAAGCGGCGGACCCCAGCCCCTCGCCTGCTCCGAAAGTTCTCCCTCCCCGCCCGGGCCAGAAGCTCCACCCACCCCCATCAATTACACTTCACCGCCACTCCGTTTCATAATCGGCGGCAGCCTGGGTTCTTAGGGGGTGGAGCCCCCAGCTAAAATCACAACCATCGCATGGGGCAGGATGTCAGGGAACTTTCCAGAAATCTCCGGTCAGAGCCTTTCTGCTGGAGTAACCAGATTTACCACCGCGGAATTACAATCGCCGGTGACCGCACGACTGAAGCATTTCCTTTATACCTTCTCCCGCGCCCCTACCCCTCCCACCTTCTGTGGGGTTCAGTCAACAAGCCATCCCCCGAGAGGCCTGAGTGGGCCTCGGCCCCGCAGCCATCGCTCCAGCTGCAAACTGATGAGGAAGCCCGACCCACGAGGCCGAATTGTTTACATCACACCCACTGAGGCTTCCTGTCTTAAATTAATGGGAACACAAATAAGACAGGAAAAGAGTGTTTGCTTTTCTTAAAGCGGGGGAGAGGGCTGGCAGCGGGAGGGGGTCACCCCACATTTCACTGCTTTTCAAAACTTAGTTGTATTCTATTCATTCCCTTTTTCTACTCCTGACATTTGCTGAAAAGTAAAAGCGTCGCTGGTGCCAAACCTCAAACCCTTATGGAACCTCTGCTCAAAACACATTTCACCTGCCTACAAAAGGCATCCAGGATGGAACTCCCAGGGACTTGAGTCAGAGGTATGGAGAGCTCCTGAGGTTGATGGCACAAATCTCAGTGCAAACAAACTCACTCAAGACCTGGGCCTCCCTCCTGGGACTTGCTCAGGCAGGTACACACTCCACTCTTTGGGGTTCATATTAGAGTCACACCCCAGTCTCACTCCACCCCTCTCTCTTTAAGCTCTGGTGCGGACATCCAGCAGCTCCTGAAAGTAAATGAGCTTTGCAAGGGACAGATCTGGTGGAATTGGAAGCAATTAATTATAATGGAGGAGGCAAAGAAAGCTTCAATTCCCAGTACCATTACTGCCACTGGAATGGGTAATTAGAGCCGAGGAAGGGCCAACCCATGTCAAGCCTGGGCTGGAAATCTGCCCACTCTCAGAAGCAGTCCCAGAGTACATAGGAAATAATGGTCATCATGACCAGCCCTGGAATTACCCCTAGTTGCTTCATTCAGGTCGGCACAACAGCCAAACCAGAAACAGGCAAGGAGTGCCAGGCCATACCAGTCCTCCTCTGGAAGAACCCAAAGGAAACAGAACCCCAGGATAAGGTTTATTTCAAGGTGTGGGTACTGCAACCAACAATACCTCATGGAGTTTAGGAAAACACTACTCCAGTGAGAACAAGCTTTGCAGGCCAGTCCTCCAAACACTGCAATTCCTGGGTCAAAGCAAATTAGGCTGATGATTTCATAAAGAGCCAAGATGCCAGGCACAGTGGCTCATGCCTGTAATCCCAGCACTTTGGGAGGCTGAGTTGGGTGGATCACTTGAGGTTGGGAGTTCGATACCAGCCTGACCAGCATGGAGAAACCCTGTCTCTACTAAAAATACAAAAATTAGCCAAGCGTGGTGGTGCATGCCTGTAATCCCAGCTACTCGGGTGGCTGAGGCAGGAGAATGACTTGAGCCTGGGAGGCAGAGGTTGCGGTGAGTTGAGATCGTACCATTGTACTCCAGCTTGGGCAACAAGAGCAAAATCCCGTCTCAAAAAAAAAAAAAAAAGAGAGAAAAAGAAAGTCAAGGGTATTAGAACTCTCTAACGGAACCTATCTGGCTTACAAATATTATAAGGGCTTCAATGAATGTTGGCTTCTCCCCCTTCCCTTTTCCCACTCTACTGCCAAGACGCGGTCGTCTTTCATTAGCATCCTATACATTTCATGGGAATTAAGTTCAAATTGAATAACTTTCTAATAATTTCAGAAGTGCTCCTTTGCTGCCTTTCTATTCTTCCATGACAGTTCCCAATGTTTTAGCTTCTTTCCTCACTCCTTCAATGCAGGTACATAATAAATTATCTGTGTACATCAGTGCTGTTTAAAGTAAATGTATGGGCCAGGCCCAGTGGCTCATGCCTGTAATCCCAACACTTGGGGAGCTCGAGGTGGGCAGATCACTTGAGGTCAGGAGTTTAAGACCAGCCTGGCCAACATGGTGAAATCCTGACTCTGCTAAAAATACAAAAGTTAGCTGAGTATGGTGGTGGACACCTGTAATCCCAGCTACTCTGGAGGCTGAGGCAGGAGAATTGCTTGAACCTAGAAGGCGGAGGTTGCAGTGAGCCAAGATTGCACCACTGCACTCCAGCCTGGGCTACAGAGGGAGACTCTATCTCAAGAAAATAAAATAAAATAAATAAATAATAAAGTTCGGGCTCACAGTGGCTTACGCCTGTAATCCCAGCACTTTGGGAGGCCAAGGTAGGTGGATCACTTAAGGTAAGGAGTTCGAAACCAGCCTGGTTAATATGGTGAAACCCCATCTCTACTAAAAATACAAAAATTAGCTGGGCATGGTGACACACACCTGTGGTCCCAGGTACTCTACTTAGAAGGCTGAGGCAGGAGAATTGCTTGAACCCAGGGGGTGGAGGTTGCAGTGAGCCGAGACCTCACCACTGCACTCCAGCTTGGAAAACAGACTGAGACTTCCTCTCAAAAATAAATTAATTAATTAAATTAATAAATAAAAACAAATGTATGGTTTTAAGTATCATGCAAATAAATACTCTGCTCCTATCCTCATCTTCGTTGCCTAAGCTCAGTTTAGGGCGTGTAAGTGCTGGGAATTAAAAATGTGACCACAGGCTGGGCGGGGTGGCTCACGCCTGTAATCCCAGCACTTTGAGAGGTTGAGGTGGGCAGATCACGAGGTCAGGAGGGCAAGACCAGCCTGGCCATGGCCAACTTGGTGAAACCCCATCTCTACTAAAAATATAAAAATTAGCCAGGCGTGGTGGCCAGCGCTTGTAAGCCCAGCTACTCAGGAGGCTGATGCATCAGAATCACTTCAACCTGGGAGGCGGAGGTTGCAGTGAGCTAAGATCTCACCACTGCACTCCAGCCTGGGCAACAGAGCAAGACTCCATCTCAAGGGGGAAAAAATATGACCACATCTGTATAATACCTTAATTTCAGGAAAGCTTTTGCATACATATGCCATTCTCATCAGCAGCAGGCCAGAAAGATACGATCTGGTGCGTCTTTTCCCTAACCGGGGTTTCACTGCTGACTGGAAAAGAGATCAATGGCCCAGTAAACAAACAGGGTGCTTAGAATGTGGTCTACAATTTTATCTTGGGTCTGGTTTAAATAATACTTGAAATTGCTACATGCACACCCAGGGTCTACAAATAACATTAATTTGAGTGAGAACTGCTGATACATTAAGAGAATCCAAAGTAGCTTCCACACAACCAAGGAAATGGTTCATTAAAAACAGTTTAGAGTTCAGCCTGATGGCTGATTTCAAAGTGGTATCCTCAGGGGTGATGATCAAAATGACAGGCACAAATGGGGCTTAATGTCTAGATTCAAGAAAAACTGACAAGGAGGTGAGAGTCACAGCAGATCATGCATTTAATAGGAATCTGCCTGCTATACTGATAAGAAATAGGCAAGGCAGTGCTGGGGTGAACTCACGTTGGTGGGAGTTTGACAGGAAAGGGAAGTGCCCCCCCCTTCTTCCTACCCCATAATAAAGAATTTGACAGCAGACAGACTCTTTCTGGTGGGGGGCGGGGTATGTCCAGTCTGATGCCTCTTATTGTAAGGAAGATGTGGAGCCCCTGGAAAGGTTCCAAAGAAAAACCTAAGTGATTAGAGACAGCAAATAGAACCTATGAGGGGAGGTTAAAGGATTTGGAGTTGTTTAGTCTAGAGTGAAAAAACATGATTAAAGACAAACTTAACAGCCTTTTCCTACTTGAAGAGTTATCGTAAAAAGGATACTGACCAGCTCTTTGTCATCTCTACAGAGGACAGAAGAGGTAAGAGATTCAAAATACAACTTTAGAATTTTGGAGGCTGGCTGTGGTGGCTCACACCTGTAACCCCAGCACTTTGGGAGGCCGAGGTGGACAGATCACAAGGTCAGGAGATCAAGACCATCCTGGCTAACACGGTGAATCCCCATCTCTACTAAAAATACAGAAAATAAGGCCAGGAGTGGTGGCTCATGCCTGTAATCCTAGCACTTTGGGAGGCCGAGGTGGGTGGATCACCTGAGGTCAGGAATTCAAGACCAGCTTGGCCATCATGGTGAAACCCCA